AGGAATGCCAACATTATGACTATCACCAAGGTGATAAGTCTGTGTGTGGGAACTACTGAGGTATGGCTCTCCTTTCCACAGCAGGGATCCTCATCCTCTCCCACATTCTACCAAACAGTCTTCTACCTCTTGCTGAGGAGGTCCTGCTGGAATCTCACTGTGGGTTCAGACTACCCCGTGGGGCAACTGACATGATCTTTGTTGTCCATCAGAACCAACATCAGGATCTGAATATGGCCTTCATTAACCTTACTAAGGCCATTGATTCCATCAATTGTAAAGCAGTATGGAAAGTACTGGCCAGATTTGGATGTCCTGAAAAGTACATCAAGGTCCTGAGGCTTTTCAGGACCTTGATGACTGCACCTGTTCTTTGCAGCAGACTGGAGACAGATCTACTTGTCATCAAAATTAGGGGTCCAACAAGGATCTCATCACCCCAGCTCTGTTCTTTGTTTTTTGGACTGTCATCCTGGTTCTGATTAAGGACTGCCTTCTTTCTGGAACTGATGCTGAATATCAAACAGATGGAGGGCTTTTCAACCCAAGATGTTTTCACCCAAAGACAAAAGTACCATCCTTGACCTCGAATATGCTGCATCATCTTTGTGTACACTAAGGAAAACCTTCAGACTGCATTGGATCTCTTTGGAGAAGCCTACTACATTTTGGGCTTCCCTCTCAACATTGAGAAGACTGAAGTGCTCTATCAGCCTATCCCAGGCCATGAATGTGACCCCCTCCCCACATTACCATTGAGGGACAGACCCTAGAGGTAATGTAGCACTTCCCCTACCTCCATAGCCATCTCTCTCAGTGATTGAACACTGATGAGGAGAACGTGGTCAGGATCTGGTGTGCAAGTGCTTCCTTTAGGAAATTGCTTTGGTATCTCTTTATTCATCAGGATCTCCAGAAAAACACCATGATCCAGGCCTACAACATAGTCATCATCCCTGTTCTCTTCTACAGATGTGAAGTGTGGGAGAACTATCACTGTCATCTCAAGAGCCTGGAAAGGTATCACCAATGATGTCTCTGGAAAATCCTCCACATCAAATGGGAAGATCACCACACAAACACCAGCATCCTTGCTGAAGCCAGTGTTACCAGCATTGAGTCAGTGATCCTCAAGCACTAAATTTACAGGGCTGGACATTGTGTGTGGATGTCCGACTCTCGACTCCCAAAACAAGTGCTCTACTTCCAGCTTGGTAACAGCTGAGATCTCACTGTGCTGGACGAAAAGCTACAAGGACACATTGAAGAAAAACCTCAAGAAAACAGATGTTGAGATTAAGAGTTAAGAGGAGCTGGCTGCCAACCAACCTCAATGACACTGCAACCTCAATCAAGTGGCAGCCTGTTTTGAGGTAAAGCATCTTGCCCTCGAAACAGAAAGGAGAGTGAAGGAAGGAAAAGGAGAAGAACCCCAGCCTGCGGCCTACCCTGTGGGAAACTTCTGCAGCCAGATCTGTGGCTCAAAGATTAGATCTTCAAGACTCATCAGTGACCTGTGGTAGAGACCATCATCAAATCAAGGGATTGCCAATGATGACAAGTTCTTTAGGGTAATATGCAAAAATGAGAATTTACTCTTTTGATACAAGAATCTTTAAGTGAAGAATCTCAGTCATGCCAGCTGTCATGTGGCAAAAGGCAAGGAGTTAATCTCCTTGGATTATTGCTGGTGGTGGTCCAGGATGTGCTGCCATACAACTCAGAGTACAGAAAGGAGAGACTGCTTTCTCCCAGTTGCCCTTTGTGAGAAGTTGTTCAGATGCTTGTTGTGTCACAGTTACAGGACGGAACAGTAAGCCTGAGGCCCATCTTTTACTTTGATAGAAATCCTGTTCCTTTTTGGTTCACTTTGCAAAGTATTTATCAGCACAACTGCTATGGATTTGGAATGCTTAGCCTTTATGTGAGGCTACCAAATATTACTATTCCTAGCCAAGGAGGTCTGAGAACTTCTAAGGTATTAGCAGAGACCCATTTCATAGATTTCATAGACATTTGGGCTGGAAGAGACCTTGGAAGATCATCGAGTCCAGCCCCCTGCCCAAGGGGCAGGATGTCAGCTGGGGTCATAGGATCCCAGCAAGATAAGCATCCAAATTTCTCTTGAAGGCGTTCAGTGTGGGTGCTTGGCAGACTATTCCAGACCTTGGGGGCTCAGACAGTAAAGAAATTTTTCCTTATGTCCAGCCTGAAACGGTCTTGCTGAAGTTTATAGCCATTCAACCGTATCATCCCTTGGGGCGCTCTGGTGAACAATCGTTCCCCAGATCCTGGTGAACAGCCCTTATAAACTTATAGGTGGCCATCAGATTGCCCCTGAGACTGCGCTTTTCCAGGCTAAAGAGCCCCATCTCTCTCAGCCTGTCGTCATAAGGTCTGTTTTCCTGACCTCTGATCATGCGTGTGGCTCTTCTCTGCACTCTCTCAAGCTTCTCCACATCCTTTTTGAATTGCGGGGCCCAAAACTGGATGCAGTGCTCCAGCTGCAGCCTCATCAAGGCTTAGTACAACGGGAGAATGATGTCCCGGGATTTACTTAAGAAGCATCTATGGATGCAAGTCAGCGTTTTGCTTGCTTTGCTAGCTGCAGCATCACGTTGAAGACTCATGTTCATCTTGTGGTCAATCATGACACCCAA